GAAGTTTCAAACAATTTCATCCACTAGTTTTATTGTTGGAATGAAATATAACAAGACTTGCATTGGCTACACAGAAAGTTATTAGCTAGTGGTCCTTGAGTTAAACATGTGTTTTTCATGACATTTTTCTAGCTTCACTGTTACAGTATGGCTATTTTCTGAGAATACAGTATAAAATAATTAGCTGATCATTAAAAATATATGGTATGCAAATCCTGGAAACATATTTTAATGTTATGCAAAGATTCAGAAAAGCCTTGGATTGTTTTTGCTCCAGTGGTGTATGAACCCTGTATAATAATGCTGTTCTTTCTTAGTGGTACATTGTGTAGACTAGCAAGTACAAAAAATATATCAGAAACTGCTTTCTTATATTTTTGTTGTGAACTTTTGTAATGTTCTTTGATCATTTGTTTCACTTATGTGTGAAATAGTCCTTGAGGGTTGTTATATCAAAAGTGTAGTTACTTTTCCCTACTTGTATTTATACTATATTATATTTTTTCTTGTCACAGACCATTTTATTAGACAATTAAAGAGGAATGTTGGAATTTGAGCTAAAATTCTCATTCAGTTCACTTTTATAACCACATTAATATGATTACAATTAAACATTAACCCATCTGTCCATTTTTAGGTATGGGATTTTTATTCTTTATCAGTTGTTAGTTGTGGTTATTTTTCTTTACAAAATAGCCAAAGTTTTATTGCATTTTGTTTCAGCTGCAATATATAAATGCTTTTATTCTATATATAATTGTTCTCTTTCTTTGTCATTTCTTTTTATTGTATATAAAATATTTTTTCAATTAAATCAAATTAGAAGATGCTTGTGTTTTTTTATAGCTCTAACAGACTGATTGAGTGGGCTGCAAAAAAGTTTCCAAATGCTGCATTTGTTACGTATGAACAAGTGAGTTTCAGAACAGTTACGTTTTTAATACTCTGGTGGTTGTGTATCCTTTGTTTACCAGACAATTAATGTTTTAAAATATCCTGCACTGAATTCTTCTAAATATTCTGTTTACACTTTGTGAAATTGTTTTATATGTATTTTAAAGTCTTCATTTCTTACAAGAGATAGAAACAATTTTTTTGCTAGTATGGAATATTTTATGTATGTTACATCTTGTGTTTTTGTAGTTTTTGATTCTACAAGTATGAAGTAGTTTGTATCTTTGTATGTTGCATCTTGGTATTTTCGCAGTTTTAAAGTGTATAATTATGAAGTAATTTTTGTCATAAATCACATTTTATATTATTTTTGTAGGGTTTAAGCATATAAGTATGAGGTATTTTGTGTTTTGTACATTGTTCCTTGGAATTTCTGTAGTTTTAAGTGTATATTTATGAAGTATTGTGTGTGTGTGTGTACATGTTATGTCATGTAATTCTTATAATTTTTTAAGTGTATATGTATCAAGTGTTTTATATTTTGCATTGTTATATTTCTGTAGTTTTTAAGTGTATAAGTGTGAAGTATTTTGTGGCATATATTGCATCTTGGTATTTTTGTACTTTTAAGTGTATATCTAGGAAGTTTTTTGTGTCATTGTTGCATCTTGCTATTTTTATAGTTTTTAAGTGTAAGTATGAATCTTTATTTTTTAGTTTTTGAGTATATCTTCATCTGTGTGCTGTATTTTCATTCTTTGTTCTCAATGTTATTACATGTGATGGATAAGGAAGTACAGCTTTAGCAAGACAATAACTATAGGACTTTGTTTCATATGCAGTCTCTTTCTAAAGATTTCTAAAAATCTAACACTTAGTGTTAGAATCCCTAGATTTATTGCTTTATTAATCATATGTATAAAGAAAAACAAACATTAAAATTAATATGTACAATTGAACAAATATTTAGCTTTCTTTTGATGGCAGATTCTCATCTTAGACATGAAATTAATATTCCAATACAGTTACTTATCTCCTTTCACAGATACAGCTATTCTCAATTTGACTGCCCTCTTGTGCACAGATTTTCTCTTGCCACTAGCCTTGAACTTCACCTAATTCCACGTGTATACCACGTGGTTCAGCTGCATTTAAGCATGCAAATTAATATGTGACATACCCTCCTGTTGCAGCTGACTTCTATACAATTGAAGCCAATCCTCTCTTCTCAATTTGGCATGAGTGTGTTAACACCTAATGCTTGATTTTCAACAATTTTTTCCTTTAGTGTTTTTTTGACAGTCTGCAATTACTTTGAACTTCTACTTTTCAAAGTATTGTTTTTCGAATCCACTTCTGAGTTGGATTTAATTTTGATTGTGAATTCTCTTGCTCACTCAATTTTGGTAGTCTGACAATATTTTATGAATTCACAACTTACTATAATGATGACAAGGGCTACCGACAATTAACAACCTGTGAAAATGGCTGTAGGGCGGCATTATCAGTGGAGGAGGTATCGGTAATGGCTCGAAAGGAAATTGCTTCTTTCATGCAGGCCATGTGTTCTCCCAATCAACAGGCAATTATGCCATTGCCTGAAGATTAGATCAGGATGACATGGTTTTTAGATAGCTTTTTCCCTCTCCCTTCCTTTGCTGTGCAGGTACATTCTCAGTCTGTGGAAGCATCTAGGCCTTCATCACCCTTTTTGGACTTGATTTCACAGGTATGTTTTATTTTGTGTTTGCCACCAGTGTCATATGACTCCTCCTCTTCTTTATTAGCCAAAGCACCTGGTTATGAGTTTTATTTATTCCCCCTTTGCCTAATATTGAGGTCCATGCAGTCAGGTTTGAACAGCAATTATGTGTGGGGGTTAGCATGCCACATCCCACCCATTTACTAAAGAAGCTCATGCAATTGCTTATCATTGTGCTAGAAATCCATTTTTGGATAGTCAACATTTGGATTCTTTTCTTCTCTTTTGGGGTTTGGACCTTGATTCTTCAGTACATTTTTCACAGGCACAATTTACCTGACTACATGTAACCCTTACAATACTCCTTTGTTATTTTTTGTCTGTCCACCTGTTGTCTGAGGTCTTCTGTCATTTTCAGGATAGTTTTTTGGCAGAATCCTGCACACTCCTACTTAAGACATTGTCCAGATTGTCTTCATCTGCCCTGTCCCTCCACACTTGACTTCTGTGTTGCTTGTATCTCTTGGGTTGGAATGTAGTCTCCCCTGACTTCCGTGCAAAATATTTGATCAGCCTCCTTTCTAAGATCTATGGTCTTTGATGGGTTTCTAGACATCTTGCCTTGGAGTCTTGTGTTTAATTTGTCAGATTACACACTTCTCTATCTTCCCATTTGTCCCATTATCCTCCTTCTGCAGTTCCAATTTTTTGTCTTCCTCTCCTTTACTGGTTCCTCCTTTCCAGACCACGTCTTCTACACCTCATACCATTGTTCACCAATGCTCTGTTTGACATCAATAGTACCAGTGACTATCCTTGAGTCTTTCGAGTTTTGTCAGAAGGACTCTATCTCTTCTTTTCCATAGAACACCTGCCTTATCTCCTGTCCCAGTTTCTTCTCCCCCCCTCAAGATTTCATTTCCTACCACTGTCTCAAAGAAGGTTCAAGACATTCTCATCAAGGGCACCATTGCTTATCAATCAGTGCTTTTCAAAATGGGGCTTCATGGTCACCTATTGTGCTTTCTCCAATGATGCATTCCTCTGGACTCTCCAACGTGTTTCTTCCTCACCTTCTTCCAGTGGAATTTGGGAGCCCTTACCACTTACCACCTCCTAGTCACTGGGATGATGGTTCATGAAGGAATCTTCCTGAGTTGTGCATAATTCCATCAATCGAGAATGTGGCTGTGGTGCTCTCCCTGTGTAGAAGACATGACTATCCTCCTGCCATGGGTCTGATGTTTTACTCTGGATGCTGCTGGTCTGGACTTATTTTCTGTCTATTTTTGTAGTTTGCCCCCCTGGCTGAGACCTCTCCCTCCTACTGCTGCCTGAATGTTGGCTCCTTGATGACTGATTTTAGTTGGAGTTGGACCAACCAATATAAGTTCTCACGTGTGAGTGGGCAGGGAACTTCCTCCTACTATGGACAAGATGTTACATCCCCAATGCCGTTTGGTTTTAGACTGGAATTGACTATCCACATTGCATTTCCACCTTCCTGGATGTACATTCCTGGGTTTTTTTGCTGCAGGTTGTGCTGGATTTGCACACATGATGATTTAGGTTATTGGAATGGAAGCTTCTCTTCTCTTCTGGTTCCTTGATCTAAGATAATTGATTGGTCAAGTTCCTTCCAATGCCACTGGTCTGGACTGGAGTTGACTTCCTGATTACGTTCTGAGGCATCTTGACCACTTTACACACATTCCTCTACCTTTTGGATTTGGGATGGATAACTTGTTCAACCCTTTGTTTGTGACACAACACCAGTTGGCTCCACTTGGGCATAGTATATCTTGCTCCATCCCACAGGTGTGTTTCTTTTACATAGAGGTGTCACACTATGGGTGCTTTTCAGACTCTTTTGAAGGGTGCTCATCTAGGTAATATTACACTGATCCTTCCAACTGCTCAATGTAGGATTCTAGATGTATCTGTGAGAAGAGATAAGTAATCGTAGTGAAAGGTAATATTTTCCTGTGCTAAAAATATATTTTTGATAGATACTTACCTTCTTCCACACTTCCCACCCATTCTTTCCATTTCTAGTGTTGTTTTTTGTGCCTAATCTCAAAGTGAAGATTGGATTCAACTGCACTGAGGGAGTCAGCTGTGATAGGATGGTTGTCACATGCTTAATTGCAGCTGAACCTCATGTTTACACGTGGAATTAGGTGGGAATTCAATGCTAGTGGCAAGCAAACAATTTGCCCATCAGAAGGCAGTCAAATCAAGAATAGCTATATCTGTGTGAAAAGGTAATTATTTATGGGAAGTATATTTTAAGTGTAGGGAAACATCTAATGAATGAAAGGCTACATAATTTGTGTAAAGCAGGACAATGCTACATACATATTGACATGAAAAGCTTCTAATGTACAATATTGCTGCTTACATTACAATTACAGATGAGTGGTAAATAAGTAGTGATGACTTTTAATGATAAAAGAAAAAGTTTGAACACTATAATAATAAACTGCACGTCTCACACCAATGATTTAACACATGGGGATGGATTACTATGTCTGCTTTCATTTCCAGCTCACTTGGTGACAGTCTTGAGTCTTTCGCTCTGAAAAGTTCCTAACAGTAGGTTTGTTAACCTTTGGTGACGTTTTTTTTTAATGACAAAAACCATTCATGTATTCAGTTGTAGGTATGCATTAATGTTTTATCGTTTGTGTTAACTTTTGTACTCCTGACATATAGTTTACATAATGCTTATCATTCTGTTAGTAATACTATTTATTTCCAGCATTCTCATTGTAGAAATACTGACTGCTTTCAAATTCTAGAGCCCCTTGGGTTGGATTCCTGTACGTGATGAGGGAACCTTCTAGGAAAGGTTCTGTATTTTCAGTTACCTTCTCTGGGATCTAAACATCCACCCACGTGTTTGCCATGCGTGGTGACCCGCGAAGGGGAGGAGAGGATCCTGGTGGTTGAGTGGTGTCTGGGGCACTGCAACACACCACTTTGGCTTGAATTCCAGGGTCAATCAGTTGGTCCCGTCAGGCTAGGGTCAACTGGGTACCAGTGTTGGGCATTCTCAATGGGTGTTGTGGACATCGTGTCTGATGCTGGTGTTTGGGCATAGTGCTTCCAAAACCCTGGCATTGCTGCAGTGTCTCCCCTTATAGGACTCCATGGTGGGTGGGGTCAGTGGGCACTGAATCTTTCTCTCTATATTATGGATCCCCCAAACCATAATAAAAATAAAATAGTAAAAACTCTAGGCATCGGTAAACGACCATGACTTGAAGACTCGGAAAAGCAGTCTTCACCCCATTGTGCACCTTTACCTCGCTTTCTTATCGTGCATTCTTTGTTGCAAAAACCTTTAGGGCAAATGTTTCCCTTTTTTATTCAGAAAGGATTAGAGGGGCTTGCTGGCTCTCCAAAGTCAGTCAAGAAGCCACGTCCTGGGGACACCTTGGTGGAAACATCAACACCAAAACACAGTGAACTCCTCTTGAATTCAAAGGCCATTGGGGATATACCCATTGAGGTTACTCCCCATGCTACTTTGAATTCTTCACAAGGAGTTATTGTCGAGAGGGATTTGAAGAGCATTCCCGAGTTTGAAATCCTCATGTCTCCACTCATAAAGACGGACTTATGCTGCCTCCCATTGTTCTCATTTTGATGTTTCATTGCCGTGTTCACCTGCTGCTGTCATGACAGGTTATTTGAACTGTAAGGTATGGCCATATATTCCCAACCTTCTCTGATGTTTCCAGTGCCAGTGGTTCAGTCATTCAAAGGCATCTTGTTGTGATTCTATGACGTGTGCTCATTGTGGTGGCAAGGACCATGATGCCTACGAGTGAAAACTGGACCCTCACTGTGTTAATTTTAGTAGTTCCCATCCCTCTTTCTATAGATCTTACTCTAAGTGGGTGGAGGAGAAAGAGGTACAGTGTTTGAAGACTGTTAACAACATTTATTACCTTGAGGCTCAGAAGCTGTTGTTCCCTACTCCATCTCAGGCATATGCTGCTGCACTATGCTCCACTGCCATGGAGGGAGTGCAGACAGACCTTTCCATGCCTCTGAGTCCTTTTTGTGTCCTTCTCTGCCCTCAATGGTTAACAGAGTTGACCAGTCTATGTCTATTCCAATCTCTGTCCCCACCATTCCTTCCAGTGACTGCCTGGGTCAACCTCCTATGGCACTGGCCTCCGGTGTCCACTCGGGTCCTTCTTCTTTGGCCCTGCGATGCAGGATGATCATTTGATCATGTCCTCAGTTGCTGGATTCTAAGTCTGATGACAGAGATCTGCCCACTCGACCGAAAGCAGGATCCAGTAAAGAAAAATGGCATGGTCATAAACTAAAGGGTTTTCCACCTAAATAAAAATGGCCACTTTGATACAATGGAACTGTTGAGGTTTTCATTCTAATCTTAATGACATTAAGGCCTTGATTGATTCCTATCATCCCATGTGTCTCTCCTTACAGGAAACATTTCTGAAACCTGCCAATACAGTCACCTTTCGGCAGTTTTCTTTGTACTGGAATGACAGGTTGTGTGATGGATGAGTGCATGGAGGGGCGCCATTACTGGTCAACCAGCATGTGCCCTCCTTATCTGTGTCCCTCGATACACTCTTGGAGGCTGTAGCCATATGTGTTTCCTTGGATCGTGCCATCGCTGTTTGTTCTCTCTACCTGTCTCCTAGAGAGACTTATGATCAATCAGGCCTTGATACTCTCATTGACCAGTTGCCATCTGCCATATTAATCCTGGGAGACTTAAATGAGCACAACCCCCTCTGTGTTCAGTGCCGAGTTGTATGCTATTTCTCTTGCCCTATGCAGTCCAGTAATTGTACTATTTACACTGATTCTCTTAGCTCTACTGGCCCTTAACATTAGTTCTCACCCTGTTGTTGTTGATATCAAACAATAACTGGCCTATTTTTTCTCTATCTTCTCTTTCCTTTCAGTTTTTCTGGCTACCTGGCTACATCGGTATTCGCGGGAACGAGCTCGCTGACACCACAGCTAAGTCCATCTGTTCTGGCACAGTCACGGCTGTGACTGTCCTATATGTGGACTATGGTCCTGTATTCAAGGCATGGCTTCAGGCCAGTTGGCAGTCAACTTGGGGTGAGCAATGTCATAACAAGCTTTTCCAGATGAAACCTTCCGCTGCTCTTTGGCCATCTTGCTTCCGTAAGAATCAGAAGGAGGAAGTTGTCTTGGAAAGGCTATGCATTGGTCACAGTTTTTTAAATCATTGTTTTCTTTTATCTGTAGCCTTTGTGATATTCAAGTCACAATAGCCCACATTTTACTGTCGTGTCATCGTTACGATCGTTAGATGCGGCACCATTTTAGACACGTGTTTTGTAAGGGTTTACCCTTGACATTGGATAGTGTCATTGGCGATGGTGACTCTGTCCAACTTATTGTATTTTCAATTTTTTAAGAACAATTGATCTTTTTAATTTTATTTAATTCTTTTATTTGTTCTTTGGACATATTTTGGTTTTAACTTACTTTATTTTTACACTTTACTATGATTTACTTTTACTGTTTTTACTGGTTGTTTGGTGCAGATAGTCTAGTTGCTTTACTTCATAAAACACCAATCAACCAACCAAACAAACAAATTCTAGAGCTAAACCTTAGTGAGCAGTAACTGTAGAATGACTTTTTATTTCTTAAACTTATTCTTATTCAACATTGTATTTAGCTGTTGTAACCTTTTGATTAATGTTGACTTCATAAGCTATTCATTGTACTTGTTTTTCCTTTGATCTTAGATCCACCCAGATGATGGATTTGGTTTGATCATGTAAGTAGATTTAATAAAAAAATTTAAATTTTGCTTGTTACTTTTAGAAAAATGAAACAGTGTGTTAACTTTCAGTTTTAATGAAGCTTGCACAGTTCTGTGTACATAATTAAGAATAGACATACCATAAAACTCATTTGTTACTTATCACCTTCTCAAATGTGAAAAAAAAATAGATGACAGTATGATGCTTAACCAAATTGATGAGTTTTCTCTAGGCATCCTATCTGTAGTTTTTCATAATCCACACGTGTGATTTGTTGATGGTCCAAGTATGACTTTTCTTAACATTTTTCATCAGTCTACATGTGATTTATCATGACAGTGTATGTGATATTTTTCAATAGCTTGCATGCGACTTTTCTTGACAGCCTACTTGTAATTTTATGACTGCTTATGTGTGATTCTACTTGGCATCCCAAGTGTGCTCTTAATTTACAGTCCATAATCCTGTATATTATGTATGTCATGTTTCAGAGCAACTCGCTTGATTTTACTCCTTATCCCTCTCTATATGGGCATGAGCATTTTGACCAACCTTCCAATCAACATGTAACCATAAAAGTATCCATACTATTAACTTTCAATATTTTATGTGTATCTTTGTGAAATTTGGCAAGCTTCTTTTTAAACATAATAAGTCTTTTGCACACAAAAATCAGATTTCTTTAACTAAATATTTATGGAGTCATAGTCTGACTCAGTCTGTGACTAGTCTGAATGCAAGGTGATTTGAAGATTTTTTTTTATCTTGCAGTTTTCAAATTTCATTTGTACAACTTATAGAAGCTTCTTTCAGTAAAACGTTATATTTTAACTGTTATTTTCTCTACCCAAACACTATGCAAACTTAGTCCATTTGACTGACCTTGTAACCACCACAAAAAATATGAAATAACTCTAAATTACTTATTTTATCTTTCTAGAATGACTGCAGTTTGTAATAGAAAATTACAATTATTGATCCTAACCAACCTCAGTATTGTAACAGTTTACATTTGTTTTAAAATTATATATAAATTGTTTTATTGCTTTTTGAACACTGGCTAATTATTAAGTATGCATAACAAGCCGGAAATCAGCTGGTAACCACTTGCTTAAGTTATGGTATGGAACTGCATAATAGATGAATTTTTCACATGCATACCTCACAAATACTTTTTTTTTCATTTATGTTTTTGTATCTAACTTAATAAGTTTCTACTTTTTTACATTGTAGTTACTTTTATAACAATAGATAAAATACATTTGTGGGTCTAGTACTTTTTTTTTTTACAGTGAAAGACTTGAAGTGTCAATAAAAATTAATCCTAATTTTTACTTGGGTAGTTGTTAATACTTTACTGAATTTTTATTTATTAAAACATTTAATTTAACATATACAAAGTATACAATATCCTATAGATATTATAAATTAACTGACTTTGTATAGCCATGAGTGCATTAACATCATTTCACTACCTGGTCAAGCTGAATTCATTGATAGCAGCTTTGAATCTTTACACCAAATAATTCAAAAGCTGTCATGAGAATAAGCTAGCATTATATGTAAATCAGTAAATTAAAATATTTTTTTCCCTGTTGGTTATAAATGGTGTAATAACAAATGTGAGAGAAAATTACTGACATTCTTTGAAAGACAGTATATAATAGGAGGTCTTGGCATGTGGGTTTCATTTACTGGTTTCTATTTCTATAAATTTAGTTGATTGGAGGCTGTAAAATTAGATTGTCTCAACAGCATTTCTACTTCTACTATAACCCCATAATTTACGATAAAACTCAGAAGCTGAAATAGGAATGGAAAGAATGTTTAAGTGTACTATTCACAGCAAATGAGTATCATGTGATATAGGAAAGTGAAGATTGAGAATGTAGTAAAATACGTCCATTTAAGCTTAAAAAATTATAACTTACACTTAACACTTGAACTACATTTTGATAATAAGATAATTTAATTAAGTGTTGAATGTAACTCTTTAAAAAGGTCATGACATGTGCACTTTGACCTACCAGTATTCAGCAGGTAGAAATATATCTCTTTATTAAAAGATCTAAGTAACATATACAGGAAAATTAACTTGATTAATCAATTACCTAAGAGCATCGAGTACATTGACTAGTGTCACATATGTTAACCATCTGTAAATGGGCGTGGTCAATTTGATCTACCTTGTAACCATCATGTAACCATAGAACTATACATAGTATAACTCTGAATGTATTTAGTGTACCTTTACAAAACTTAGCAAGCTTTTAGTAAACACTACTAGTCTGTTGCACACACAAAAAAATCGGATTTTTTGTAAAGTATTTTGTACTAAAGAATTTTCTGAAATTATGAAATCTACTGAGTCAGTTTGAGTGAAATGTAAATTTTTATGTTAATAATAATCATACTTGTTTTCATCTTACAGATTTCATATAACATTTCCATAACCTCTAATATCTCCTAAATGAATATCAAAAGTTTTTTTTATCTCCAATTTTTTGTAGCCTAACACTAATTGTAGCAAAATCTACAGGTTGAAAAATAAATTATATAAATAATATATATGAATCTGTAATTGATTTAAGATTTTTCAAATTACTTATTTTCACAGCTTCATCCTTTAACATTTTCACATCTGCTTTCTTTTAACTTTGCTTTTTTGTCAGAATTTGTGCCAGGGATGCTGATTATCACTGTGAAAAGCAATAAATCACAGCAGGAGACTGTTTCTATTTCACACCTGTAAATTAAGTTATACTCATGAGCTTGCATTCCTAAACTCATGAAATTTTAAATTGTATTTCTTACCTTAACTAAGAAGTTTCTAATTTTTAGTTTTAAGTTTTAGTTACTTTTGTTAAAAATTATATAATAATAATTAAAAAAACAATATATAAAAACAAGAAATTTAGCATTTACTTCATGTTCCAGGCCTTTTATTATAGGATGCAGGTCTATACTTAACCCTTATTTTTCTTTTCACTGAGTTGGTTGTCCAAAAAAAATGCATGTAGCATTCAAATATGTATCTTAGAAAACAAAAAAATATTCTAGTTACAATAATAAATTGTCCCAAAACTACTGTAATTTAATTTACCTAGCTTTCCTAAGTAAGCTATAAATAGGTTAAAAAATGATATTAACTGCTCAGGGTTGAACAAAACTGATCACAGACAAAGAATTTAAGGCCAACTGTCTACTCATGCCTACCAAAAAGAAACAAAGGTAATAAACATCATTGAGAGGATATTGGTTATAAATATGTCTGTCATCATGTGCAGATGATATAGGTTTCCTGAAAGACAAGACAGATTGGAAGGGCTTCTCTTAGGGATTTAACAAATTTATTGATATCTTGGCAAATGTCAATGTTCAAAACCAGTTTTTCTGATACGATATCTTATCTCCCCTCACAAAATAGTTTTTCTTGATTAGTACTGCCCTCTATCGGTGCATATTTTCAACTCTCACCACTAGCCTTCCACTTCTGCATATCCACATGTAAATGATTATGCAGCAGCTCTCCACCAATAGGAGCACGACACAACCCCCCCATTGTAACCAGTGCCTTTTCCATATATGCACTCATTAATCTTTTCTCAAATGATAGTAGTACTGTACAGATGTGTTTGTATTTTCTCAAATATTTTTTAATGTTTTCCTTTATACTATTATGTTTTGTGATTTCTTTATTTACAGGAGCCTTTTTGTTAGTGTATTGCGGATTTCACTGTGTGGTGAGTGGTGCCTGACTAGGTATATATATTTTTTGAAAATCTGCACTGTCCATCCTGTGACCATGCCCAATGTCAATTATGTAGTAGATCTCCTATCACTGACCTGAGATACAATTCCAGGTGTTGATTTTGTGTCTCCATTCAGTTGTCATCTATGCCGAAACAATTACGTACTTGCATTAGGTTGCACGCACCGTAGAGATGATGTGTTGCTTAGGACTGCTCGTACTTCTCTCTAGTGGTCATCCCAGACTACACAGTCGTGGAAACATGAGTATAGCAGACAGGGATTTCTGCTCATCTCTGATGCTTCGTGGCATTGAGACTTTTCCTACCACTTACCTAACATACAATTCTAGTGGAGTATGGGAGTCCTTGCCACTTACCAGTTCTTAACTGCTGGGATGGTGGACCATGGAGGCTTGTCCTCCTGAGTGATGCATCATACCACTTAGTTCAGAGTAGGACGGTGGCATTCTGCAGGTGTTGAGAGCATATATCGCTTCCTACCACTGACCTGATGTATAATTCCAAATACCGCATGGTTTCAGTTGTAGCACTATGCCGTATCAGTATACCTATATATATGTGACAGATTGCTTTTTCCCACCAAGGCATTTTTCCTTCCTTCCATCTTCTGGATATACATTCCCAGTGGGCCTGGTGTTGGTTTGAGATAGCCTGGTCACGATTAGAATCATGTGTGAATGAGGTGATGCCCTTCCTACCACAGACCTGACATACAATTCTATATACCACTAGGTTTTGGTTGTAGCACTATGCTGTATTAATGTATATATATATCTGACAGATTGCTTTTTCCAACCGTGGTATTCTTCCTTCCTACCATTTTCTGGATATACATTCCTGGTGAGTCTGGTGTTGGTTGGATTAGAATCATGTGTCAATGGTGTGACGCCCTTCCTACCATGAACCTGATGTACAATTTTAGATACTGCTAGCGTTTGGTTGAAGCACTCTGCCATTTCATGACTATATATATCTATGTATATCCCAGTTTCCTCCTCAGGTCGAGACGTTCCTTCTCCTTACCATCTTCTGGATGTGGTTCTTGTGGGGGTCAGGTGTTGATAGGAGATGGTCCAGCTAAGTAAGTCCTCACGTATTCTGGCCAGTATCGTTACTCTTACTGTGGAGTGGATGACAAATGTCCAATGCCGCCAGGGTTTGGAATTTAGATGCATCCAAGGTTTATGGTCCCTCTTCTTACGGTTTGCTGGATGTTGGTTACCAGCAGATCTAATGTACGTTGTAGTTGGATGAAGCACATGTATTTCCACCTGTATACGGCTAAGTATTCTCCTCCTAACGTGTACTGAATGAAATATACCCAATGCCACCAGGTTTTGAACTGGAATTGTCATCCCAGTGGGGTTTTCTTCCTTCTTACCATCTGCTGGATGTCAGTTAATGGTGGATCAGGTGTTGGATGGGTTGGAAATATGCACAAGTTGAGACAGATTTTGGTACAGAAGCTCGTCTTCCTTACCAATTTCCATTTCAAGGTGAAGAGATAGGTGATCTTCTGTCTACTGTGAAATTTTTGTACAATTCCAGATACTGCCAGGTGTCGGATGAAGTTGGACTACCACTACGGTCTGTCACACCATATCCACTCCAGACCCAGGGGTCCCATTAATTGGTAATTCATATTATTGAATTCCTTCATTTTTTTCCACCTTTTATGTTCACGACACAGTAATGAAAGAGAAAAGAGTACACCTGGATTAGATGTAGTGCAATCTTCCCCAGCAGTGTGATATTTTCTTTTTAGGTTCCACACCTCATGGTCTCTCTTTGGGTGCTTCCTAAAGGGACTCATTTTTTTCACAGGCCCTCCACCAGTTCAATGTGTTTCTTCCTATTTTGCGAGAGGAGGTAAGATATCGTATCAGAAGTTAACATTTACCTAAATTGAATATGTATTTCCGATAGACATCTTTTCTCACATTTCCCACTCAGCCTCTCCACTTCCAGTGATACGTGGTGTAGGTCTTCTGACCAATCTCAAAGTGATTAAATGTGGAGAGGGTGCTGGATACAATAAGAGGTTTTGTTGCTCTCCTACTCATCCGGAAAAGCTATTTTGTGAGTGGAGGTAAGTATCTATTGGAAATACATTTCAGTTTAGGAAAATGTTAACTTTCATTAGCCATCTTTATATCTGTTTGCAAGCTATTTCAGTCTGTATGTGATGTTGCCTTTACAGACAAAACCATGATAGTAATAAATTAAATTTTTGTGAAACAAACAATTGTCTTTGTTTCTTTAATTCTATTATCAGAACTGTATTTTTTTTTACCAGATTTGTTTGTTATTATAATACCATAGGAGGTAAGTAGTTGTTGGTTGAACACTTTTAGTTTGAGAGATATATAGTCTTAAAAGCTTAATATGTGATTTTAATCAATTATTATTTATCATCAGAGATTTTTTTTGTTCTGTAGGCAGAAACATTTTCAGTCACTTGGATCTCCGTTAAGAAGTATACAGACATTCCAAACTGAAAAATCACAAGAAAACAGATATAAGAATCTGGTATGTATAATTTATTGGAGATTTAATAATCAAAAATATATATATTTTTTTATTTTTACTAAACTGAAACTGTAATTTATTATAATACCAACTTGTCTTTAATTGATCAAGTAATTAGTAAAACTTAATTCAACACAGAAAATGCTTACAATCACTCTATAAACTAAATTTTCTTAGTGGAAGGCATCATAAAATTCAGTTCAGTTTGTTTGCTTCTGATTAGAATGCTTATAAACTAATTTTTATATGGTGGAGGTAAATTCATGCTTCCCCCACTGCTTAGTATTTAACATTATAACTTCAACTGGTATTCAAAGTTTAAATTCACTTTAGGTAAAATGTTCTGTGTGAGTGCAGTTTAGGCTTGTTTTTCTTACTGTTTTGATTCTTCTGTGTATTCCAAGCATGTTTCTCACTGTTGTTTCTGTGGTTGAGTGTACTCCAAGTATGTGTTTTTCTAAACTTGTATATGATACTGTTTCTTCTGTATTTCAGCATATTCCAACAATGTTTTCCATACTGTTTGTTCTGTGTTTGAGTGTACCCAAAACATAATTTTCACTGTTTTAATGTGTTTGAGCACTTTTCAAGCTTGTGCTTTGTACTGTTTCTTCTGTATTTAAAAGCTCTCCAAGTGTATGCTCACTGTTTCTTCTGTGTTTGAGTGCTTTCCAAGCATGTTTTTATCTCTATTATGCTTGAGTGTACTCCCATCATACCATTTGCATGGTGTCTTCTGTTTTTGTGTGTACTCAAAATGTGTATTTTGTATTATTTCTTCTGTGTTGAATGTACTCCAAGCATGTGATTATCACTTTTTTCTTTGTTCTTGGAGTATTCTCCAAGCATGTATTTCATACTGTTAGACCTGTTTTTGATAGTACTCAAAATGTATGTTTCTTCTGTGTTTGAGCGCACTCGAATCACTTACTTCTCCCTGTTTCTTCTGTTGTTGAGTGTACTTCAATTGTGTTTCTTACTACTACTCCTTTGGTTGAGCACACTTCAAATATGTGCTTGGCACTGTTTCTTCTGAGGTTGAGTGCACTCCAAGCATGTGTTTCTTTTATTGGTGGGAAGAAGTGAAGCAACAGTAGTGAACTTATTTAGAAAGTTTCCAGTAAGAAAGTTCTAAATTGTTGAATATTGCAAAGTAGGATTTTTGTTTTGAATCCCAGGATTACTGTTTGGGTCATCATGGATCAACATTTTTCTAGAATATTTATGCATCAACTTGCTCTTGGATCCATAACCTTACAGTGCCCCTAATAACTTAGAAGTCACAAAAAAAATGTAAATAAGAGTTTTACCAACTTTTCAGTTAATCCCTCTATTTACTGCTGTGGCCTACCATGTATTTCACAAAGAAAATGAGTAATTTCATTTGTTTGTTTTTATCTGTTCTTTACACATTTTTTGTAACAGGCATAAGCTTAAAATTACTCATTTTGTGAACACTGCCAATAGTGAAGTATTAAGTCATTAGTTGGAGGGTTAAAAGATACAAACTTCATTTACCCTCAAACTAATGACATAAGACTGTTCACTATATTATAAGGTTTATATCTTTGTCTTTATAATCAATCTCTGAAATTTCATAAAAACTGAAAAGTGGTACCATAACTTAAAGATATTGTTAGTTATTTTAACATGTTTATTTGTGAAATATTCTTGCAGTGCTGGTTATAATTATGTGTATCTGTTATATTGATCGGAAAAGTGTTGGACAGAGTGTTACGTACTGGGAATGAATCAACTTTTTAGCATGCTTCCTTTGGAGGAGCAGAAGAGGATACAAAGTCTAGAATTATTCGATGAATTTGAAGAATGGCACTTGAAGTGTTCTCACTACATCTTAGCATGTGCTTCTCAGGGTGTACTAGCCAGTTTTAGTAAGGCCTTGTGTTCAGGTTTGTGATCTTTTATTAACACAATACATGGCTGGAATTAACTCTGTTTAGACAAGCAGTTGGGTCAATGTTGAATGTAAAACTCTATGTTTGACTGATTGTGAATATCTAAGAGTGAATAGTTAGGTAAGTATGATCACTGTGTCCAGTAAGACCTTACTATTAAAAACTAACCTGTTTCCAGAATGATTTAGTCAGTCAAATCTAATCAGTATAAATCAACCTGGTCCAAAATGATTTGTGACAATCTGTTATTTATTCTCACACTTTGTGCACAAGACTAGTAAAGTGATAATTTCTATTAAAGTAACATAATATTTGCACTCATGCTGTAGGTTTGATAGGCCTAGTAAGGTATAATTAAATTTGAAAGTATTTTATAACTATTTGATTAGAATTTCTAAATTACAAAAAAAATCATAAACTAAGAGTTTATTTTGAATAATAGTGATAATATGAAAACATTTAATGGTGATAATGGTTTTGCATCCTTTTATTTAAGATATTAAATTTACTTATGCAATTAGATACATAGTGTAAAACTTATCACATAGCATAGTTCCAGTAGATGAAGCCTGTAATGGTATTGATAGTCTCTGAATGATTAACAGAGCAAGCCGTTTCACAATTTCTAATGTCCAATCACTCCGAAACACTATGGATGTGCTTTCATTGTGTGTAATCAGATGCAAGTTAACGAACATGACTTACAAAATTAATACTTAGATAATAGTGACATTGTTAATATGGAGTGTAATACAGAATGAGAATTTGAAGTTAATGTATTTCAGATGAGCTTCTTTTTTAAAGCATCTGATGTAGCAATAATTATTCTGGCTGATGCACAAAATATTTCACTCAAAAATTACAAATATTTGGCTCTATCATGCAAGTTGGAGCTACTAAATAAATGTCATATCTTGATCACTGTGCCTCTTCATTCAGTGTGTATTGAATTTGAATTTGCTTTAGATATTTAGTTCACACCAAATTATAAGTAACCACAACTGTAACTTGAGGTTTTCTTTTTCACTCAGTATCTTATACAAGAGATAGGCATGTTGTTCTTTAGATTAAAGGATCTATGGTTTCTGTCGTTGTGCCTGGAAAGAAAAAAAAATGCTCTCCTCTTCGGATACAGTTGGCAGTGGGTCCTGTTGACTAGCTATTATTCCTCTGGTCTATATGTTCAATATTAGGGATATCTAGTGCACATTTACTTGAAATTTGAACAAAATCAAACCAGTCCTATACCATGTGCCTAATATCAATGTAAGAATGAACTCATCTCATGAGAATCATACTGTTGTGCACGCAGTTAGTGGATTTCATTTCATGAGTCATACCATTGTGCAGGTAATGTGATCCAACTTGTAAATCACACCATTGTGCAACATGTATGTGTGATGGCATTTCATGAGTCATACCATTGTGGAGGTAATAAATTTGGTCTCATGAGTCATATGATTGTAGAGGTAATAAATGTAATCTCATCTCATGAGTCATACCAGTGTGCAATTAAAAAGCAGAGGTGGATTTATAGGTATGTGCAGTACATGCAGAAATAGGGTCCCGTGCAACTGAGAGACCCCCAAGTTCCGACAATAAAAATTATATATATGTATTAAAAATTAGTTTATTTTAAAAATTAAAATATTATTTTTTTAGTTTACCTAGCTAAACAGATAAGATGTGCTTAGGGTGTGCTGTGCTGGCTTACTAATTAATCATTTGTGTAGTTCCTATAAAAATTAATTCTACTTTCATTTTTGTTATATTTTTTGACTGGTTAATTTCACCGGTTATTTGAAAACGTGATTCCATGAATATGAAACAACATTATGCATCAGGAAGTGAAAAGATGAAAAATAAGAGAGAAAAACAAGAGCATGAAGAAAAACAGAAAGATAGTTTACTGTCTTTTTTTAAATCTGTTACTGTGCATACAGAATACGTTGCATCAGAAGAAATGAAAGAAACTGTAGTTGCTTCTATAAGTAGAAAAGATCAAGATGTAAAAACAAGTGAAATCCCTAATCCTCATGATGTGGCTGATTCAGTCACTTTTGAAGATAAAGAAGATGTAGAAACTACAACTAAGTCTGATGAAGATAGTAATCTAGCTGAAATGGAGGATATTATAGATTTTAGAGAATTTTCTTACGTGAATGACATAGCTTTATGGCCTGATTCTCTTCTATCAGATATGATAGAATATCATATTGTAAATAAACCTGAAAATGTAGGTCAAATAAAGAATTTGAAAAAAGAATACGAAGCGGGATGAATAAAATAAGGTCTTAACAAAAACCATTTCTATAGAGTAAAGAAAATGGGACAATGGAAAAAAAGAGAATGGTTAGTTTATTCAGAAACATCCAAATGTGTATTTTGTTATGTTTGTAAATTATTTCCTGATGGCAACAAAGGAAAGCAAGCATTTGTAGATGGGTTTTCAAACTGGAGCTGCATATCAAGATTATTAAGTGAACATGAAACTTCGAAAACTCATGTAAGTGCAATGTGTTCTTTTATAAGAAGAAATAACTCAACCCATCGTGTTGATTCACAACTAGTAACACAATTTAAAAACAATGCTCGTATTGACGACAAGTATTGAAATGCATAGATGCAACTGTGAAGCTACTTGCAACTTTAGGCCTTGCTTTCAGAGGTCATGATGAATCTGAGTCTTCAATTCATAATGGCAATTTCTTAACTTGTATCGAATATCTGGCTGAATTTGATGATTTTCTCAAACAGCATCTGGAAAATTATCAGAACTGTGGTTCTGGTAAAACTAATTTTTTTATCTCATCACATTTACGACTAATTTCTCATTGTCATGGCTGATCATCTGTGAAAAAGCTTTGCTGATGAATTGACAAATGCGCAATATTTTTTATAATTGTAGACTCGACTCCTGATGTTAGTCACGTGGATCAACTTACTGTTGTGTTAAGATTCACAATTAGTAACACAGTTTGAAAACAATACTCTTATTGATGACAACTATTGAAATGCATAGTTGCAACTGTGAAGCCACTTGCTTTGTATGTTCCATGTTCCAGTCACTCATTAAATCTTTTCGGTAACAGAACTGCAGAGATTTGTCAAAATGCAACGAAATTTTTTAATGTTGTTGGGAAAGTGTACACATTTTTGTCAGCATCTACACATTGATGGAATGTGTTGAAATCGCATCTACAGCAAAAGAAAACAGTGAAAAAGATTAGCTAGAAGCAATGCAATTTTGTCTTTGAAAGAGGGTTATCATGATATTAAGAATGCCCTGCTTGATATTGCTGTAGCAGAGAACGAGAAGCCTGTAGCAAAAGTCAAAGCAAAATCTCTATTGAAAAAATTGGAAAAGTTTGAAAATGCTCTTCTTACAGTTTTGTGGAATCGTTTGTTGCAAAGAATGAATGCTGTTAGCAAATCACTGTAGCCTAAAGATGGTCACGTATTGATGGCTGTAGAGTTGTTGACTTCTCTTCAGGCTTTAATCATTAAAGTTAGAAATGATTATCCGTCCATCGAACTGGAAGCATTATCTTTAATGGAAGGTGCAATAAAGAAATGCTTAAAGAAAAGCAAGAAGTTTTTTGATGAACCTCAAGAGAAGGAAACAATGTTAGAAAGGAAACAAAAATTAATTGTTGAAACTGTGAACACTATTTGTGATATGCTAGTTGTACAACTGGAAAACAGAAAAGAGCCTATTAAATCAATATTAGACTTATTCCAGGGACTGCAAAGAACATTGATGAGGCGAAGAAAGACGATAACATAAAAATTACTGGAAATGTACTCAGAAGACATTGATTCTGTTGTTTTTGAAGACGAGTTACGACATTTCCTGCATTTTGCCAACAGTGATGAATCTGTATCATCGAAATCACCCACTGAACTTTACAAGCACGTTTTAATGGTTTGAGTGCCACATTTCCAAATGTAGAGACAGTACTTAAAATCTTTTTGACACTACCCATTTCAAATGTCACTGGTGAAAAATCGTTCAGCACTCAGAGTCAAAAATTACTTATGCTCAACGATATCTCACATGCACCTAACCAGTTTAGCGATTTTATCGATCAAAAGTTCTGCATTGCAGGATTTAAATTATGACCATATAATTGACTGTTTTGTGAAAAGAAGTGTTGGAAGAAGCACATAGAAACTGTTTTGAATTATTGTATTTAGTTTTGTTAATTTTTTACATCTGTATATAGGTACGTATATCATTAATATAATACTCAAAACCTGTGTTAAAATTTATTTACATAGTTAAATGGGACCCCAAAAAGAACTGTGTGCAGGGCCCTGAGGACCATAATTCCCCCACTGCTAATAAGTGTGATGTAATTTTATGTATCTTACCATTGTGCAGCCTATTAGTGTGATTTCATCTAATGAATCATACTGTTGTGCATTTAATAAGTGTGATCTTATCTCAAGAGCCATACCATCATGCAATTAATGTGATCTCATCTCATGAATCTTACCATTGTGCAGCTAGTTAGTGTGATCTCATTTCATAAACTATATTATTGTGCAGCTAGTTAGTGTGATCTCATCTCATGAATCTTACCATTGTGCAGCCAGTTAGTGTGATCTCATCTCATGAATCTTACCATTGTGCAGCCAGTTTGTGTGATCTCATCTCATGTATCTTACCATTGTGCAGCTAGTTAGTGTGATCTCATTTCATGAATCTTACCATTGTGCAGCCAGTTAGTGTGATCTCATCTCATGAATCTTACCATTGTGCAGCCAGTTAGTGTGATCTCTTGAGTCATACCATTATAAAGCTAATAAGTGTGATCTTATCTCTTGAGAGGTTTATTGTTCATTTTGTTACAAGTAACCAACACTGGCTTACTTTTGATTTTAATGTGATGCAAGTGACCAATGCTGGTTTACTGCTCATTTTTTATAATGCAAGTGACCAACACTGGTTTATTGTTCATGTTCTGATATTTATGTTGTTTTCTTATAGACTCTTGCAAAGATAAGCAGAACAAATATGAGCCTGTAATTAGTAAAAGACTCCATTGGACAGTATATGAACATGGCAGTGAATTACAGAGGTAAAAATAATTTATTTTTATATTTGAAACAGAATTTGACCACTTGCTATAGGTTTGTGCAACATTTTATTTACTATTAGGAGTTTTTGAAGTTTTAGGTTTTAGAAAAATAAGAGAAACAAGGCATATGTCAGTTTATCCAACCAGTCTTTAGACAAACTCCGTAGTGATTATTCCTTTATAATACTTGATCACACAGGATTACAGTTAAGCTTCATCTAAATGAGAGACACCTGTATGAGGTATCACTTGACCACATAGGATTACAGTTAAGCTTCACCTAAATGAGAAACACCTGTATGAAGTATCACTTGACCACATAGGATTACAGTTAAGCTTCACCTAAATGAGAAACACCTGTATGAGGTATCACTTGACCACATAGGATTACAGTTAAGCTTCACCTAAATGAGAAAACTTTGTGTGAGGTATGAGCACAACCTTATAATTCTTGATCACATTAGGATTACAGAAGCATAGGATAGTCATTTGCTTATATATTTACATTTAACATAACATATAATGTTTAGTAACAACAAGGGACCTATTTGTCCATTTTAGTTGTCCCATTCTCAAAACTAAACTAAAACTGTCATATAAATAAATAAAATAAAATAAAAATTTTAAGGCCAGCCCTTATCATTCATATAGTTATCAAGCTTTTCTCTTAAACTTACTTAAATTTACTGCCTCCACAACATCTGAAGGTAACCCATTCCAGAGGTCAACCACCTTGTTAGAAAAACAAACTGTTTTAGCTGAAGATTTCTTCTACCTTGCCAAAATCTTTATTTGTGTTCCCTAGTCCTAACTATTCTTGCTGTTAAATATGAGAAAAGATGATCCACCAACACTTATCAGTTCCCTTTACAATCTTAAATACTTCAGTCAGATCCCCTCTAACTCTTCATTTTTCAAGATAAAACAATTTTAGAGATCTTAATCTCTCCTCATATGATAATCCCTCCATCCCATGCACCATTCTAGTAACCCTCCTCTGAACCCTTTCCAACAATACAATGTCCTTCCTTAGGTAAGGAGCCCAAGACTGAACACAATACTACAAATGTGGTCTAACCAGTGACCTATGTAATGAAATTATAACCCCTTTAGACTTGTATTCAATACTTCTGTAGACATAACCTAAGATTCTGTTCTGTTTGCTCTTCCACTAGCAACAAAATACTGCTTGGATGGCTTAACTCTCTAAACACGTGACCTCTTTTTACTTGATTAAGGTCTTTATAGATTTAATACTTCTAAGTTTCAATATAGTGTATATATCTTCACAAAATTTGGCAGTCTTTCAGTTCATATTATAAGTCTTTCACATACAAAAAATCTATTTTTTGGTGAAGTATTTTTAATGAAATAAAATAAATATTTGTCCATGAATATATTGAGAATTTGTTTTGAATATTCCGTGTGCAAAGTAATTTTAAAATTAAAATTAAAAATACTTTTCCTCATCTCAAAAATCTCAAATTTCCTTTGTGTAATCCCTAAAACATCCTAAGTGCATTTCAAACATTTGTTTTTAGTAAAGCTTTATAGTTTATCTGTTATTTTCTCTACCCTATCTCAAAATGGGAATGCTCAATTCGACCAACCTCACAACCACCAAAAACAAATATTGAAAAAACCTAAATTACCCTTTTTTTCTTTCTAGAATGACTTCAAATTATAACATGAAACCACATTCATTTATACTAAGTAGCTCTAAGTTAGTAATATTATACATCTATTTATAATTAAATTTTATTGTTGTATTGCCCTTTGAACCATGTCTAACTACTCTCTGTACCATTATAAGTTGTATATCACTCGGGGAATGTGCAGCTCGCGTTACACTATCGAATTACATTACCCATGAGCTGCTCACATGCGTACATTATGAACCATTTTAATTATATTATTATTATTACTTATTTTACCTAATCTAGTCTTAAATAATTTAAAAAGATCCATATCTTTAGATTTTAGTTACTTTTATAATAATAAATAAAAAATAAATATAAAAACAAGAAATAAAGTACTTACCCAATCTTCTTTATTTTTTGCTCTCGGGTTTTGAAGAGAGTTAAGCCTAATTTTTTATACTATAGATAGTAACGCACTTAATAATTTTTATTTATTTGAATAATGCACCAAAGAATATAGACTAATATCATGCAAAAAAGTAGACAAATTCACTTACCTCTCAAAAATTTTCTGACTTTCCCATGGGAATGATGTTGCTATTCTGGGTGAAATTGAAGATTATCTGTTCAGAGCACAACGTTATACAATATGTCATTTGATAGATGAAAACCTTGAATTTCTATTGGTTATAGGTAATATATAATGAAACGCAAGAGAGAACTATCATTGAATTGTGAAAGAGAGGATGTGACGATTTTATAGAGAGTATTTTACGTTTAATTTCTTACCTTTTCGAGGGGTGGTGGATAAAATAGGGATGATGACATGGTAAGAGAAAATGTGTCACGTGGGTCACACTAGTGGAAATTCAGAATTTTTTTAAATATTGCCTTTTAGAATTAAGAAATTAAAACTTGTATACTGTTAAAATATGGGTTATTAGCCAATATGTTATGCTATTCTAATTGGTATAACATAAACAAGAAGTAGTTTAATAAAATTTTGAATATAAGACACTAAACCTTGTGTCATGCACAGTAAAGGGTACCTGGGATGATAGGGTTAAGAGATTGATTAATCATTACACCAAGATCCCCTTCTTTTGTGCCACTGTTAATAGTTGAATCTTAATTGAACTACAAAATATTGTATCAGAGATTGCTGTTTTCCAGAAGGTACCTTCTGCTCACATACATAGCTATTTCTCATTCAATGCTGCCCTCTATTTGCAAAATGTTTTTCACATTCCACAAGCCTTTCACTCCCATATATATCCCTTGGTTCACATTGTTCAACTTATTTTTGCATGTAAGTTGTCATGTGATTAAACCTCCACCAGTAGACGGGCCCCACACACATGTGACTCCTTCTATGCTCTTCTACCTAACCATCTCTTCTTGTCCAGAGCTTGTGAACAGATCTTTTATTTAGTGCTATCTTCGGATTTTTAATTTTCAATTGATTATTTTGCAAGTTTTTTACTTATTTTAAATAATTTTCATTTGTACCTCATTCAGTCATGGTATAATTTATTTTTTACCCAGTTATGGAATTTAGTCATTTTTCCATCCTTTTATTTCTTTAGCAGCACAGTTGTGTTTGGTTTTCATTTGCTTTATGAATTCTGATGTGCAGGTTACCACGTTGGAGATTGTACCTTCTATCAGCATACTTACTCAGGCTTCAGGTGGAGGGAACTCAAGTTTGGAATTATCGGCAGTTATTCGACAAGAGATTGATCATTATTTGAGCCAGTCTTCTTTTCTGATTCGATCATGTATCATGTGCTCCGTTTCTTCCTCTTGCACTAACCCTCTATATCTGTATGCTGAAGATGTTACTCAGTTGACGTGGTCGAGTCTGTTTGGTTTGAGCTGGATATCTATGTATTTTGCTCTGCTCACATGTGCCATTCCCCAATTGGTGGTGGGAATTTCTCCTTCCTGTTGGCTGAACTTGAGGTGAAGATGGTATGATCTTCTTTCCTACCCCTACATGGATGTCAGTCCTCAGCAGTTGAGTTTTGGATTGTGGTTGAGTTACTGATGGTATGATCCCTGTTCTTCCCCACATGCATGTCGGTTCCCGGTGGTTGAGTTTTGGACACAGTTGACTTGCCATATATGGTACATTGCCCCCTAGTCACTCTACACCTTGGGTCACATCCCTTTCTTTACCCACATTTTGTTCATCAGGGAGATTGAAATTTTTTATATATTGTGGTTAGGATCAATGTCAAACCATTGGGATGTGCTCCTCAGAATTGTCTGCCCCAACCTGTCTCACCTTTTCCACATTTGGATGAAGAGTATACCTGATATAGAAGTGGTGCAGTTTCCAACATATAATCCTCTAATTAGAAGGTTCCTTCATGAGGGTGTCCTTAGGATGCTTCTACTTTCTCACTTCTCCTTCTAATTAATATGGGATTATAGCTATATATGTGGAAGTAAGGTACTTTGTCAGAGGTTATAAATTTCCTACACTGCAAATATATTTCCAACAGGTACTTACTTCCACTCACACTTCCCACCCTTCCTCCCCACTGTCCATAGATGCTTAAGTTTCTACCTAAACTTGAAGTGATAGGTAGAATAACATAGTGAGCATCACATGAGTCACGTGTGTGTGAGGTGTGTCTATTGGTGGAGGTTTTATCGCATGATTATTTGCATTCAAGAATTTCTTAAACCATGTGAACTGAGAGATATGTGGGAGTAAAAGTCTTGTGGCATGTAAAAAAAAATTTGCAAATAGAAGGCAGCACTGAACGAGAATAACTGTGTATGTGAGTGGAAGTAAGTACCTGTCAGAAATTTATTTTCAATGTAGGAAAATAATAACTTATCAGCAAATCAATCTAGTTAATCATTGATAAGGGCAAGGTATTCAATTTACATACAGATTGGTCCAAGATTAAAGAACTATAATTTTGTTTTCTTGGAAAAACTTGAATGATATACTTATTAAAAATAATTATCTCAACTTACATGATAAATGCTTAAATGTTTTTCTGATATATCCATTACAACAGTGAAAGTTTTTTTTTAAAAGTCAAACTGAATTAAAAGGTTTGGGCAACAATGTGTGCTCCTTCCAAATGGACTGGTGTTGACTTGCGGAGGTTTTGGCATTCAAGATGGCAAGCACCAAAGATTAGGAGGTTGCTTACTGACAGATGTGACTACTAAAACCTTTCAGAGTTGGAAGCTGGAACTAGAGGGCCAGGGACATCACATGGGTGAGATATGTCTTCATTATGCACTCTTTTTGAAAATTTAAACTTGTGACCCTTTATTTTTTATTTTTTTGCAATCAAAATAAATTGCTGAGTTTGTAAGATTCATTAACTTGTTCACTTTGGCTTCAAAATGAAACTGGATGATTTTGGTTGAAGGTGCATTATGATATATTATGATGCAAATCCTTAAATGGAAATGTAATTTTTTACTGAAAATGGGTAAAAAACACTACATGAACTAATCTATACTCTTGCTGTTAGCTCCACTGAAATATACTGAAATGAACTAATGAATAGTCTTATTAGCTGTTTGCTTGACCTAAATTGTATATTTTTTAAGTTTTTGGACTTGATAATTTAAAAGTTGTGGTAAAGTCTGAGACAATAAGTTTGTTGTGGTTTAAGTATGGGTAATGCTATTTCTGTTAATGTATGATTGCACACTTTTAATGCTATCTGTATTTCAAGCGGCTATTGATGTTTTTAATGAAGTATTAAAAAAATCTTTCAATAACCTTATTTTTCTAGAGGTAATATAATAGTTAAAAATCCTATTGGTAGTAAAAAGTATTATACTTATAGATATTATATTTCAAACCATTAACAACATGTTCTTTTTTTCGTGAGGTGGAGTTAGCAAGTATTACAATTGGACAGAGGAGGGCCATGCACTATTGATTAATGTACTGGACTGTCAACATGAGGTTTCATGGTTCATGTACCATTGCTGCAAAATTGAGCTCCACACTTTGGAGCAATGGGTGCATTTTCAGAGTGACAATGAACTACCTCCATTTCATTAGCATAGTCCAAGAGTTTATGATGATTGCTGTTGATTAACATCTTTCTCACCAGCCTATCACTTCAAATTTATGCAGGGATAATGCAGAAAGTCCTTTTGCAGCTTTGGACAAATATCATCAGAAATAAACAATAGTTTAGGGTTTCTAAGGCAATAATAAAAATTCTTTGAGTTTAGTCTGTATTAAGATAAGACATAAGTGTAGTTGATATTGATTTAACACTGTAATTGACTTGAAGATGTATCCAACCTAGAAGATATAGCTGCTTTAAAGGTACAAGCAAAAATTTGTGTCCTGTTTATACCATGTGTGTTTTTATAACTTATCTTTCAGGCCAACGGATCCATCACTGTACTGTACTCTTAAATGACCAAAAGTTGGTGGTGATTGGAGGACGTTCTTCCCCAAGTAAAGCTTATAATGAAATTCTTACCCTAAAAATAAAAAACTCCACGACACAGACATCAGGGAACATAGTATCTGCAGAGACTCGCTTACTGACACCTCAGTGTTCAAGCACAAGTTCAGAATCTCCATCTGCACGATGGCGTCACACAGCATGTGTAGTAAAACTTGGAGGTAAGGGAGCTAAAGTGTTTACAAAATTCTTTTACTAACATTATCGAGAGAATAGATGTAGTACAACTAAGAAGTAAGGAAGCTTTAGTGCTTACAAAATTCTTGTAGTAATGCTTCCAAGAAAATAGATGTAGTACAACAAGAACTAAAGGAGCTTTAATGTTTACAGAATTCTTCTACTAACAGTACTAAAGCCAATATGTATAGAGAGATTTGAACAGTATCATTGTTTATTTTTTTTCCATGACAATATGCAGGTATAGAGAAGATTATGGTATTTGGAGGAAGAGCTCCTGGATGTAAAGTCTTAGCCAGTTGCTTCATTTTAGAAACAGAAAAGTGGACATGGGAAAAGGTAAATTTTTTTATTTTAGTTCAAATTGATTATTATACTCATAAGTATAGAATGCTCTGAAAACTTGAGAAAAATACTAGCTCTTTTGGTTGGAATATCAGGAAAGATGGCTAAAGAAAATAAAACTCCATCATGATCCAATACTATAATTATTAACTATTTTCTTCTTCAATATTTGGCTTTCTCAGTATTTTTTGTATATTGAATAACTAGATTATCTGCACTTGACGTTAACAGGACCTATTCCAAAACAAGATGCATACATATGGCTTAACTCTCTCGTTAGAAGTAGGTAAAAGTGCACATGCCATGACTTTTTAAATTCAAAATTTAATCAGACATCCTTATTATCAATGTATGCAAATAAACTTGCCATCAAAACATAGTTCATAAATCAGATTATAATATTAGGCAAGTTTTTATTTCATTATTTTAAAGGGAAATGTTTGAATAAATCATCAATTTCCCTTTGTAGGAGAATTGTGACATTTGTTTACTCCATCTTACCCATAATTTATTTTTTCCACAACCCTCACTGAAAATCTGTGTTTAATGTAATTTACTCATTAAAGTATAGATATTACTAAGGCAAAGTTTAATTTTTATAGCTTTCAATCTTCTTTGTTTAAGAAGACAAACTAGAAAATCAGACCCACTTGCCACATCCACCTATCACATACTCTCTTTCACAATTTTCCAATAATTCTTTTTGGTGTTTTCTGTATTGTCATTTATGACTAATAGAAAGACTCAGTTTTAATTTGCTGAATGACGTATAATGCTTAATGCTTTGTTTTTCTCAGTACAGAGTTTTAGTTATTTCTCTTGCAGGTTGAAAGTTTCTATTGCTGAGTTTGTATCAAGTAGCTATGAGAAATATTTTAAGGAGGTTATGCCAGTGAAGTTACAATAGTCCTAGTGTTGCTTTGTTGTTCTGTTATTCTTTGTTATTATGTATGTTCTTCAAATGAATGAAAATTATTAAATGAACTAGTATCATCATTACAAAAAAGTAGGCTAAAATTTTATCAGCAGGCCAATGAGAAAAAGAAAACAAGTAGTTAAGTGTAAGTATTAAATTTCTTGTTTTTATGTATATTTTTTTATTTATTGTTATAAAATTAAATTGTAAAAATTAGGAACTTATTAGGCTAGATTAGGTAAAATAATGAAAAACGATAAAGAAATTACCCCCATGAGGTACATACTTAGGTGTAGCTTGCATATTACGTCAATCAGTATGATAACTTGAGCCACACATTCAACAAGTGATCTAACTGAATATGTCATGGGAATATCTGTTATACACAGTTGGAAGGGCAATATAATTAAGTAGAAACAATTATAGGCTGTTACAAGCTTTAAGCTATTTAGGATAAACAATTGTAGTTTTCTGTTACATTCTGCAGTCATTCTAAAAGAAAAAAAAGGTAATTGAGGTTTAGTTCATATTTTTATAGTGGTAACAAGGTCGGTCAAATTGGCTGAGTTTGTATAGAGTTGGATAGAGAAAATAACAGATGAAATATGTTTGTTTAGGAGGTTCAAGAGAATATGCAAATGAAATTTAAAAACTGAAAGATGAATAAAAGTATTTTTAATCTTAACATGAAAATTACCTTACACTTGGAGCAGTCATCACTCTGACTCATTATATTCATGAACAAATCTTTACTATAAATGCTTAATTCAAAATCCTGGTTTTTTTTGGGTTTTTTTCTACCAAATGCTTGTAATGTTTACTAAAATCTTGCCAAATTTCATGAAGATAAACATAGAAGATAGTATGGACTCTTTCATGGTAACGAAGTTGGTCAAAATGATCGAACACGTGTCGAAAGAGTTAATACTTCAAGCATGTAAAACAACTCTCTTTTTATTCCAAATCATAAGTGTGTATAAAGTGTTGAGTTTAATGTGAAGGATCAATTTGCTGTAGATGACCTACTTGGAATCAGCTTTGATGCCAAATTGAGATGATGATTTACAAAAATTGTAGAATTTCATATACTCTTTGTAAGTGTCCTGGCAGATCACTCACATAGCACTTGTTCTTTGATGTTCTCATAGCATATATCATTGAAATTATATCTTTTTATGTTCTCATAGGATAATCACTGAACACTTGTCCTTTAATATTATTAAATTGTTAGACATTTTGTTTCAAGCTAATTTTTAAATGTTGCTTGCATGCCATTTCAGTTTATATACAGTCTTGTATGTTAAAGTTAATTATATAGCATTCATAAACATATAAGATGTTATTAAGCTATTATATGCTTATATTTGGCAGAAGTTTTCAATTGTGTAATAATTGTGCTATAGTATCAAAAATGTTACAAGCATCTAAGTGGGTTTTAGTGTAGTCAGCGATACATCCATAGGTTACATGAATCACCACCACAGTTCTAGTAAACGGTGATCATGATGTCAGTCATACATCTGTGAGTTCCACAGCACCAGGCTGGTATGTTTATATTATGTGGTTTAGTGACAGTTTTGGTGATACCAAGTTTGATATTTTGATAAACACTGAATGTTTAAGCAAAATGGTAAAAAATATGTGTGCATATGTGACTTTTGTCAAATTAGTCAAGAAACGTAGTAACTCTGGTTGGTAAATTTGTTGTAGACTGCTTCAGGACATCCAGTAGCTCTGGTTGATATGGTTGTGTAGACTGTTTTGAAAAACTATAAAGTTTTAACATTTTGTTTTGTAACCTGAAAGTTAGTCTCTGTTAAGTAACTAGTTCCTTTTTTTTTCCATTAATGTGACTGATAATCCAATCTGTGCTGAAATGGCTATGCACCCAATTCTGTAATATGAGACTAGATAGGCAATGTGGGAAAGCAGTTTGTAGTCTTTTAAAGGATATATTACTTTAAATGTATTTATTCTGTAGACTTAACTGGTTGATTTTAAACAGGATTTCAATTAATCTTTCAGGTACCTCAAGATCAACCTGATGCACCTGGTCCAAGGCACTCGCACAGCTGTGCAGTGTGGGAGTCTGTGGTAGTGCTTAGTGGTGGAATAGATTCGGAAGAACAACCAGTTGCAGCTGTGCATACTCTTGATTTGAGTACTTTAAAGTGGAAACAACTGTTTATCCCTTCATTTATACCCAGGTACTCGTGAAGCATATATATTGTACTACTTTCAATAAGGAAACTTATTTCTACATAAGAATACTAACCATAGTATAAAAGTACAGTAGGTTACAGTATGTTATGTTAGGTTGCATCATGTAATGAGGGAACTGTATATTGCATCATGTAATAGTTTCTTCTTGACACTTCTTTCTACAGGAAAATACTAACTAAAGTATAGAATTTACAATAAGTTGTATTATGTTATGATTTCTAATAAGTAACATTCTTTTTAAGCAGTAACCAGATTTCTTTTAAAATCATTAGAAAGTGCTCAGAATTTTAATCAATGGGATGCTTGCTATTACTTAATTGTTAATGAATATTCCGAGAGATACCGCTCATTTTTAGAGGGTGAGTATATTGTGATCAGCCCTGTTTGTAGCTTAAGCAAAAGTTCACACAAATATTTTATGTAATTTTTGTAACAAATCTGAAGACAAAGCAAATTAAGAAAATTGTTGAAACTAGTATAATGAAACATTTTGCATATTGTGACAGTAAGATAAATCTTTCATCTGATTAGAAAATCAGTTAGGTGGGGTTTAGTTATTAAGCTTACAAAATAATGGAAACTGTAACCAGATTTTTTCTGCATAATAGATGTAATTAATTTTCTTCACTAACTGGGGCACAGTATATAAGTAAAGAGCCTAAATAGTAATAGTGTTAACCCTACGAATACAGGTTGGGTGTGATCCACTCAGCTCTTATCCATGAGAGTAATTATACTATAATGTTTGATAATGTACAAAATTTTGTATATTATTAGTAAACATTACACAAAATATCAGGTTTTTAAATTAATGTGCAAAGTAATTTTGATTTAAAAGATTAAAAATACTTTTCTTTATCTATCTGAAAATTGTCAAGTTTCATTTGCATAACCTCCCATGTTTATTCTACTGTTAGAGGCTGAAGTAGAAACCTGCCAAATATAAAGCAATGAATCACTTTCCTGTTTAGGTATTATCATACTTTGAGTACTTTGACACCATCAATATCAAATAAGCTTTTGCGCCACAATTTCCAGAACTTTCCCTGCTTTGCAAATGCAGTGGGGTATGATTTATAATTTTTTTTACAGTATATTGATTACAATGGGAAATGTCTGAAGTATTATAATATGCTTATGCTATGGCTTTGTAGAAAGTCTGGACCAATCCAATAAACTTGGTAGGTATTTGAATGTTGGTCGATATCCAGACATTTCCTACAGAGTTTATTCAAATCCCGGCTCAGAAAACACAGAGTGGAAGGATTTATCAGCTTGTTTACACAGTACTGTATAAAAGTGAGAGAAAACATTTATGATATGGCCCTATAGAAAGTTGTATCTGATCCAATAAACTTGGGTGGTCAGGATTTAATGGTAATATAGGTGTGAAAGTACTTATAAACATCTTGTTTCCTATTTTACCATGCTTTAAGTTAAGTGTATTGCAAAGTTGTATTGAGAAATAATAAACTAGTTTTATTTAAGAAAGGACTTATATCACTGAAGGCTCAGAAAACACAGAGTGGAAGGATTTATCAGCTTGTTTAC